ACAATTGGCGGTGTTGTTGGTTTGCATACAACTTACATTACATTACCAAAGTAATTCTGTTTTTAGCTGAGATGTGCTGTAATTTTTTTAAGCGAGAAGATTATTTTTGAGTGTAATTACATCAAGCTCTCCAGGTCAATACGATTTTTAGCTGTGAATAATTGGGACAAGATTCGAATATGATAGAGAAGTGGTTTAAAATAATTCTCATGAAAAGCTGTGTGCATCTTTTCGATGTCTTTCCAATGTCATTTTTCCGCAACCAAATCGGTGCATGATGGGAATGACTTTTCTTCTTCTGCTATTTTGCTTAAGGGAGTAACATGCCCGCAAGAAGCAGAGTTTAGAGCTTATGACATTTTGCTGAATTTGAATGAAGGAGACATTCTTAGGTAAGTTGATACTTGTAGAGTTTTTATGGCGAGAGTTGAGTATATAGCCTCGATTTCGTGCGGCCTCGTGTTGACTTGTAAACCGTGTGGGTATCACAACACAGAGGAATGCAACATGGTTTAACAGAATAACGCATTGTAACGAGACAGTCTAGTGCAACACAATGTTGCGCACTTTGATGCAGCGCGATACAACGCAACAGATTATATTATATAACTTTGCAACAAAATGTGCGACACATTTTGGTGCAAAGCAGTGCGCAACCTCAAACTCTATGAAATTTTCCCAAGAACTAACGGATATTTTATGCATGGTTCATTAGTAAACGTATTGATATTTTCTCTCCTTTAGGGAAGTGATGACATTTCGAGATGAGATTCAACAGTCACCTGAAGTGGGATTTGCCATGGCTGTTTTCCATGCTCTGAATAGTAACAACTTTGTGAGATTCTTCCGTCTTCTCCGGTACGTAAATCCTTTGTTTACAGTTCTATTCACTTGGATATATCGGAGAAACATTTTTCTCTCAATGATTTGTTCTAAAGGAAATGGACCACGATTTTCCAAACCTTTTCTTACGCACACTAAGGTGCTTATTCGAATGCGCGTGCTATCATTTATCGACGATTACGTCATATCCTAAAGTGATCACTCACCTTCTTGCATGTTT